TATCCCTGGCTGTCTCATGTGACGGCCGCGTGTTGGAAGAAGTGCAATGGAATTAACATCTGTTCTTAGCAAGCCAGGTGCATGGCCAGAAAACAGATCCCTGGAAAACACAGGACGCCCGGGTCAACACGGCTGTACTGTGTGTGCTGGAATCGTAGCCGCCGCAGGGACTCCTGCCAGTGAAGACAAAGGAGGCCTGCCTGAGAGCGCACACGTAAGGAGAAGCAGAAGGTCTGTAGTGCTGATTCAGTAGCCACTAATTGGCTTTTCACTTTCCTGCTTCTTCCTTAGTGTTGCCCCCTACCAGACACATGACCTAGATCCATCTTCAAGAGGCAAATGCATGAGCAGAAGCCCTTCAACCTTAACCCTGGAGAACCAGGCTTGAGAGACTGCACAATACGGTCATCCCTGGAGTTTGCATTGTATTGTCAGCCAGAGTCAAACATCATATTGAAGAGTAATCACTTGCCTTCTTCAAACACCTGCTGGAGCTGTTAATATTACCTCTCACATGCTGCATGTTCTCACCTCCATTTTAGAAAGAAGAAACCAATCACCGAGACGTGACGTGGGTTCCTCAAAGGCAATTCCTAGCGGAGAGGAGCACTGAACCCAGGAAGTTCCTCAGACAAAAACGCTGTGGGTGGCGTGAGCAAATGGAGACAGAATTGCCCTGCCCAGCTCTTAAGTCAGCAGTTCCTTTAGCTCGAGCCTGGTGCACAACAGGAAAACTCAGGGATGAATTATGCTAATTAATGGAAATCTGCCGGGTTTATTGTGGTACTGGGTCCCTTTTGGAATTGGCCCTGGCAAGTCTGCATGGTCAAATGCTGTTTACACTCCCAGCAGATCAGATCCCTTTGCTTTGAGCCTTACAGGAAATCATTCTGAAGACTTAAAATGGCTTTAGCCTCCTAAACAGACAGTAAATATTTCCCTAAGCCTGCTAGAACCACCTGGGCACCACTGTGCGGCTTCTGCCACAGCAGAACGATTCTGTTCTTGCTTTGCCAAGCTCGTGGCTGCTGGCTTGTGTTTCCCAAAAAATGAGCTTGAGAGCATGCACATATTAACAGACGTGTCCCTCGCCCTGCATAGGAAGCAAGACAGTGCATGGGGTGGGGTGGAGGTGGGGGGGCGTGGAAACAGGAACTGGGGAGCAAACAGGGATGGGGGTGCTCTGCAGCTGACCAACCCTCAGCCCTTCCCAGGACTCAATGGGCCTGGCAGGGACCCCAGAGCACCCAGGGATAGAAATCAGGGAGTGCTACAAAAAGCAG